TAGTCTTTGTCTAAATAGTGGCGTGTCCTCCTCGGATTCCACCGTATTTGTAGCTTTCTCCACCGTGGCGACCAGTTCTTCTATTATTATTTGGTGACTGGCTTCTAACATCGTGGGACCCATTATTGATGGTTCGATGTTGTGTGTCTTTACTTCTTGTATGCAGATGTTCGTGTCTACACTGCAGACACAGATATTCGTGACTGTGCTTTTTCCAGATGTTTGTGTTGAACCTGTTGTATTTCGTGGTTCGGAGGTAGATATTTGTGTAGTCGCTGCTGCAGTAGTCGATTGTGTTTGTGTCGGTGTCGTTTTCATGTTGAAGCCTAAAGTGATCAGATCCGTTCTGTTTCCAGATGTATTTGTAGTTGTGGAGGTGATCTTCGGGAAATTTGACTTTTTAGTACTATCGATCTTCATAGTCGATAGTACCTCTCTGGCGTCCCGTACGGGCGTTGCTGATTGTTTGGTGTGCTCTTGTTTTGGTGATGGTGATTTTTGTGCTTCAGGGTATCCTTTCTTTCCCTTGGTGGGAGGTCTTTTATGCCATCTGGGGTCCGAGAGGGTTTCTTCACTATCTGATGAACCCTGCCAGTTTTCCGTAGATTTCTTTCGTCCTCTTGTCGCTGGTAATCGAAGCCCCGTTGGGTTGAACCCTCCTTTAAATCCCTTGGTATCTATACGGCTCATCGCTGCGTTGTTATGTCCTTGAAATGAAATTTTATAGACAAAATTTTTTCTGTTTCTTTGGTATTGAGGTCGTTTGGATCGGAAGAGAGTTGACTGATTTACAGCAGATTTTGAGTGAGACTGAGTTTTGTTGTTAGTTTGGCAATGACCGGTTGCGGAATGTTCGGTATCTTTCATTGTTAATTGAATGTTTGGAGCAGCCTTGAATAGCCCTTTTTTCGCGCGCTTTTTGATCAGCTCATATGGTGCTATGTTCTGATTGGCCAGAATGACATTGTCAATCATTTTCATGTTATTATTAAATGTCCCAATTGATGCTACAACAAAATTCTCATCATACTCACTAGGGGGTATTGCCAATCCGACCGGATTTCGGGACATGTAGTCAATTGGTTCCATTTTACTCCTAGCAAGATGTTTGATATCGAAGTGAAAGAAGATTAATCAGTCAATCCAACGTGTGAGCCGGCTTTGACTAGTTTTTGATCTTCCGCTTGCGTTTAAAGCGCTGAATAAAGCTTGATGATCAGTGATGACGGTAAAACGTTTTCCATACAGATAGTATTTAAAATGTTAGATTGCCCACACCACCCCTAATAGTTCAAATTCGTTTACAGAATATTCTTCCTCTAATAAGTTCAAAAAACGTGATTCATACGCTACGGCAACCCAACCTTCTGGTGAAAATTGTTCGAGCGCTGCGCCTAATCCCGTAGTTGATCAAGATGTTGATCAAAGTGCTTGTTTTCTGTTATCTCCGATACCAATTTTAAAATGTTTTTAAATGTCTGACCATTCAGTCTGCTCTTCTCTGTGTTTTTTAGCAATGGGCGTAATGCGGCAGCGGTTTGTGCCAATTTTGGGATATACTGTGTGAGATGACGAATGTAACCCATAAAACTTTTTAATTGTGTAAAAGTTTTTAATGGCGATGGTTTTTCAAAAGCCTCAAACTTTTTACAAGTGGTTTTGTTCCCTCACTATTAACAGTAAATCCTAGCCACTCAACTTGTTTGCATGCTAACTTATATTTATCCAATGTTATCGCCAAATTTTCCTCGTCTAGATTTTTCAGAACTGATTGCAACTTTTGTTTGTGTGTATCCAACGATCCTTTTGTGACCATTAAGATATCGTCCAAATAGGCGTAAGTGTTTGTGCAATTTGTAAGAGTTAATTCGATCGCTTTTTGAAAATGAGCTGGCATCCATGAGTCCATAAAATCCTGTTTGAAATTAGTAAGTTCCAGTAGCGCTGCCCCCAATAGTACTATAGTTGCATTGTTCTTTGGTCGTTTTATCCAACGGGACTTGTGAATATGCGTACCGAAGTTCGAGTGTTGAGATTAGTGTTTATTTGGATTTGTCTGATTTTATCACCTGCGCGATAGTGTCCAACACTAATTCAATGTTAGGCATTTGGTATTTGTTTTTTTGAATGAGTTTGTTGATTTTCTTAGAATCTAACGCAAGTTTGACTGTTTGATCCTTTTTACTGTGATTACAATGGGACTAATAAAATGTCGATCCGAGCATTTATCTAGTTTGATGATGTGATTTTGATCCATCAATTTGTTCAATTCCCCTTCAACTCTTTGCTGTAAGTGTACCGGAATACATCGTCCTTTTTTGTATTGGCATGAAGTCTTGACTGAATTGAGTTGTCATCATGTGATTTTTTGATTTTCCAATACGTGCGCATAGCTGTTGGAAAATATCCTTGACCCATTGTTTAATTTCTGGATCCGATTTTTCTTGTTCGCGTATATTTAATACATTTTGTTTATTTTTTTTCTTGTATTAGCTTGACACCGATTTGTGGTAGTATGTCGCGTCCAATAACTTTGGCTTTTTGATCATCTACAATGATGAACGGAGCTGACTGCATTTTCCAGCCTCCTGATTTGATTGTTATAATCAATCGTCCTTTCGGGTTTATTGTTTCATCATTATAACAAACCAGGTGTCTTGCTGTATCGTTCGGTGGGATATACTTGAGTAATGCTGATTTATCGTTTTGTTGAAAGCGCCGTGCGGTTTTTTCATTCAAAAACGGCATTGGACTTCCTGAATCAGCTATAGCGAACAATTCTTCTGATTTTGTTTTTAGTTTCACAATATGGCCATTTAGATCGTCTTCCGACAAGGGATTTGTACTTTTGATCTCAAAAGATTCAGCGATGGCCATGACTGAGAATTTGTCTATTTGATATTCATCCCATCCGTTCTTTGATGTAAATTTGGCAAAGGCCACTGGATCGGTTTCGGTTTCAAGGCTTTTTGTTTCTATTTCTTCATGTTGTTCGTCTTGCTGGGTTCCCAAATAATTAACGTTTGTAGATCTGCAAACTTTTGCAAAATGACCTCGTTTGGCACATTTTGAACAAATTTTATCTTTCGGCGGATAAGATAGCAGATGATTCTGATTGTATTGGTTTCCGCATTTATAACATTGTTTTGAACTGTTTGTATTGTTATTTCGTTGTTGTCCTTTTGTGTTTTGTGATCCGCGCGGATATAATCGACCGCGGAAATTGCCTCGACCTCTTTGTGAGTTTTGTTTATTCACAGAGTTATATCGACCACCCCGAGTATTGATATAATGTATTGGTTCTTGTTTTGGTGTAGTTTGTCCCCCAAATGGATTTATCTTCATAGTACGACTATGTTCAATTCTTTTTTCTCGGCGAATTGCATACTCATATGCGTCTTGTGGGGTCCGTATCTGTGCTAACAGTTCTTCCGCAATTTTGTCATTGTGCATGTGTGCTGTAAACATGTCTCTAACCCATTCATCTACTCTGTCTCCACAATCAGCCGGTGAGGCTAATTCGATGAAATCTGCATTAAATTGTTCCAGACTTTCCGAATTCTTTTTTTTACGTCAAATAAAATTATAACTTCCGAATGCTACAATTCTTTTAGTAACAAAAATATCTTCCAGTGTTGTCATGAATTCTTGTGTGGTTCCATTGTGTGATACAAGGTTAGGTATTTTCTGTTGGATTTGTCTTTGACCCTCGGCTCCCAGAGGAAAAAGTAACTCCGGACTCTTGCGTCTGCTTCGTCCCATCTGTATGAATTGCATAGTACTCTTTTCTCCCGGGCTTTTATGACGTGATTCTCCCAACAAACTCGTTTATCTTGATTTAGCACCACGCGATTTTTCCGTTGTGCGTCTGTTTCGCACTGTATTTCAAGGTCATACACAGGCTCGGCGGGTTCGACGAGTGTTGGTCTAGCTCTCAAAAAGTTCCTTATTTCGATCCCATCCTTTGCGAATACGGCCATCTCCAATATAGCTGCCCACTTTGCCCATTCTAATGGTGGTTCTGCCGACGCTCTCTCCCAAAATGGGTTAAAATTCAGTGGTTTTTTGGAATATTCTGCTCATTGCGCCATGTTATACCGAAGGGTAGGGTATTCTAATCCTTGAATCCGAATGGATCGATAAACCTTATTTCTAAGTCGGAGTGATAAAAAACAACTAATTGACAGATAAGATTAATTCAACTCTGTTCCTTATTTCAATAAGAGTTCGTCCTCTCTGTCTATCAAGGTCAAGTGACCAGCCGTCTAGGCGTTTAGCATAAGATTATTAGTTAAAAAAATAACATACATATAAGGTTAGTTTGTCGATCCAGACCGGATGACAGGGGGAGGGGATGTTAACTTGATCCTGATTTGATATTCATTGGAATCATTTTATCATTAAGTAAAAATCAAAAGTTACACAAGAAATTTCAAAAATAACAAAGTTGGGGCTACAAATTTGCCAGAGAATGGTAGTTTTCAGATTAATAGAATTTTTTTAAATTTGAAAAGCCTTTTTTAAATTAAACGAGGAATTTCGAAAAAACTTGCAATGTTTCTGTCAACTGTTTTTAGATAGACCAAGTATTGATTTTCACATCTATCTCAACACACTGTAAAACACTGTTTTTGAGAACGATTACTGCGCTACCGAACACAGGCCAACTACGATAAAATTTTAGTTTTTGTTCGGTGCGTGCTCCCCTCACAAAATGACATCCCCTTAAATCACTTTCTCACACTTAATTTTTAAAATGGGTGAGGTGGTCAAAATGGATTGAGGTGGTCAAATAGGGTATGTCCTTGGAAAATATGCATGGGTGGAATAACAATTTTTATTTTCATTTTCAAAGACAACTTTTCGTAAAAACCTCAGTCATTTAGAAAACCTTTCATCCCTATTTGATCTTATCGTCCCGGCGCTATTTCCAGATGCCGAAAAACAATCTTAACCTTGTGACTAGATTGCTCGTCAACCATAGAAGTCGGTCAACTTACTTTTTTCTCGGGTAGGTTTGGGCGGAGGTGGTGAAGAACTCGCAGTCGCTTCAAATTCGTCGCTTGCCCCTAAAACCGATGAAAAAAGTACACATCTAATTAATACTGGCAATGAAATCATTTTCTATGGCAATATAAGACAAGCCAAGCCCAATTTTTATAAAGAACATGCGGCTCAATTGAAAACTTCAGCTCAAAATAAGGAAAGTAGTCAAGGACCGCGTACAAAAAAAAACCTTTTTCGCAAATAAATTGCAAACTTATAGCAAAAGTTAATAGTAGTATGCTTTTGTAAACAACTGAGGCCCACTCAAGAAATATATTTTATATATTTTACTTTTGCGCCTGCGCTGTGCTCTTATGAGTTTTAATATTTTTGAGCTTTAAAATAGGAAGATTTCTAAAAATTTAAATGTAATTCAATAAAAATTTAAATTAGGGTAAGAGCGGTAAACATTTGTCTAGACATGATTTCATCATGTTTTAACGATATTTCTATAGCCACCGGACCACAAGTGGATCTAGGATTTCTCGAGAGGGGGCGGATTTTCAAAAATTTTCGAAAATTGTGGTCAATATTATTTAGGTCGTCTAAGTTTCGAGTTCTCCCAAAGCCTTAAAAAGACCCTGCTTTGGCCACATTCTCTGAGCAGGAGGCAAAAATTTGAAAACACAGGCTGAAAATTGTTTTCCGGCACTTTTTGCTTACTGGCGCCATAGTCGTCTTTAGAAAATTTTCAGTGTCCGTTACCAAAAAAGAATATCTCAAAATAATACAAAGGGGTGACCCTTTTGGTCTGCAGGGGGTCGAATCCCTGAAGAAACGGCGTTCCCCCCTCCCGCCACACCCTAAATTTGTCCCTGCACCGAACATAAAATGGGCAATTTTTAGCTTTCAAGCAATAAAACGGCAGAAAAATTTTCACATTTCTTTCGTTTTCCTTACAACCATCACGGTTGAGATTTGCAATTGAAATTTGACATATGTCATATGAAACTGTTTGTTCAATTATAGACGAATTTAAAAGAATAAAAAAGTTCTTTTCATGCGCAGTTTGGCCATTTAGTTACAGGGCGTCAAAATGGTGTTCTAAATGTGAAAATCCCATTGAAAATAAAAGCACTTAGAATTTTGGACTGAAAGGAAAGATATTTGTTGGAAAACTGAGGATCTAAGCAAGGTTCTCATACAGATTTTCACTTCTCATAATAAAAGTAGCAGAAAAACAACTCTACTAAGCTATCTCAAATTGTAGCATCATACTAAATCAATTGTTGTTGAAGGTCTTAACAAAATTTTTAGTTCATTTTATGTGAAGCAAAATATATGAGGGCGTAATCAAATAGTTAGCTTTCCTATGAAAACTTGTGAACCCGAAATATTAAACTGCGTCTACTGTTTACATGAATATTTGGAACTGAGAACACCCCTCTAACTTCCTGTAGTTAAAAGTCCAAACGACCCCCTGAAAACTATTCTACGGTTTTTGTACGGCTATATCTCATGAACAGTTTCATTCACCAGAAAATTTTGTTTCTGAATCCTTACTAGTTTTAGAGAAAACAGCAGGTAAAAAAGTACAAAACAAGTCGTTCATTTCATGGCTTGAAAACTTATAGTAACAATTTCAATGTCCCGCGACTGCCACTTGACTCCCTTATCGTGGTAGAGTTTATTATCAGCTCAAATAGTAAATCAGATATGAAAGAACAAAAAGTAACCTGATGAACAAAATGTTTAATTTTGAAATTAACATCAAAATATGAGAAACGGATTGTGGTGCTTTCGGAACGACAAAAAATTTTTAAATTTCAAATATCAACCGGGCGATAAATTGGAGAAATTTATCTCGCTCTCTGATTGACTGCTTCTCCACGATCAATCAAAAATGGAAAACTTGACAACCAAACGCGCATTAAATCGTTCGCTATCTAAGTGTTGCTGTTGTCTACAACTGTCAAGAAGGATTTAAAACGAAATCAAGATTGTTCGTTAAAAAGGACAAAGCCCGTGATGTTCCATTAGCAGCCTAAAGCTTGATAATAAGTTTTTGATGAAAATCACCCAAAATGTGTTTTAAAAAAAGACAAGATCTGTTGTCTTCCTCTATTATTCACTCGCAAAAAATCCTTCCTCTTATCATCCATGATTATGTTTCTAGCAGCTCGTATTATCGTATTAGTAGTAGACGAACACCACGGTAGTCGCGCGGGGGGGGGGGGGGGGGGGGGGGTTATTCCAACAACAGGGGTGAGGTGCTTTAAATTTTGGGAAAACAATTGGAGGTTCTATCGGTTTAGACTGACTGTTATACGCTTTGTGCTCTGAAGTGATTAATTTATAACCGGAAAAGCTTTCTAATGTTTTAAACAGCAAGAAATTGATTACAATAAGTTTTTTTAAACGTTTTAAACGTTCATTTATTGAGCGGGTATGAGTGATGGTGATATGAATAACCTTGAGTTTTATGTAGCGTAGGTTAACTATAGCTAGCAGTGGGCTATTTCCTAAATTTGAGCTATAAAATAAGCGTTGCAAACATTTTGGCCCAAAAATTGTAACCAAGCGCGTTGTCCGCTCTGGGACTAAACGTATGAATGATTCGAATACAGGGTACACCGGTTTTAAAAGCTATAAAACGAAGATAGAATTGAATTTTTTTTTCAAAATCTGTTTAACTGAAAATGAAGGGGATCTAAAAACTAGCACACTTATGTCTTTTTGAGGATACTACTGGCAAACATGTCTGAAAAAATTGAAATAGCATTGTCTAAAAGTTCGCGCAAAATTGAAAAGAAAAGCGAACACTGTTTAGAAAGTTATTCAGTATTGGAAATGTTCCTTCAAGCCAAGAAATAGTGACGACTGAGTGCGGTGACCACGCTTAGACAAACTGTAAGAAATAATAGATTAAAAGATAGAACGAATTTATGTTTTGAAAATGATCTTTAACAAAAATCAAAAACTGACATCTGCAAATTTACTTATATTTCCACTGGCTTGAAATTCAGCAGGTCGCAGAAGTGTTAGAAAAAATTAAAATTGATCTACTTTAACGGACTTGGAAATCATTTACTTGACTATCAAAAAAACTATCCGGAGTCTTCCTAGCTCATTTCTAGCTGCATGTTCTTTGTTTTTCCTGTCTAGTAAAAACGATATAAAATATGACGTTGCCATCAAACTTTTAACCGAAAAGGAAACTTTGAAAATTTGTCTCTTGACCTGATTAACTGATTGAGAAATTGAATTTTTCATCTTCAGCAAAAATTTTTCATCTTTCATCACATTGAATTTTCATCTTCAGCAAAAATCTTCAGCATAGAGCAAAATCGCTTTATGTTAAACTTACGTCCAAATATTGTAATTAAAATTGGTTTCAGATTTATAATAAGGCATACTAAAAATCTACAAGGGCTAAATGAACATTTCGAGCGATGAATCCTTTTCCTTCGAACTGGAAAACTTTTTTGTTGAAATTTATTAGTTCAAAATGCCAACTGGTTTGAGAAATTACAAGCGGATGAAGTACACCAAAACAAAGATACTTCACTCCCTAACTGTTGGAAGATAGTTTTTTAAGTGTTGGAAGACAGCAATATCAAAAGTTTTATCTGATTTTGACATTTGAAAGAGCACTATTGTATAGTGTCCCGAACCCTAAGGGCGGTTAGGGTCCTTCCTAAGGGCGGGGGTGCTCACGACAAGCAAAATCCTATGAAAGGGGTCCTTAAATTTAAAAACGAAAAAATTTTTCTCCCAAATTGCAGAAGACCCCCTACTTAGGACCTTGTTAAGCTTAGTCTAACAACAAGGGACACGATACCTAATTCTTTCTAATTCCAATTACTGTGGACCTAGTTATTGTTCCTGGTTAATTTTATGCTATATTTTAAGTGAAAAAAGAGTGAATGAAATCTCTCTGCAAAGGCATCGGCCGTTTCTGGGCAAGTTATAGCAATCGATAATTTTGTCAGATTTTGAAATCAGAAAATTGAAATTAGAGGGAACTTAGTGTAATGAAGATATTGCTAAAAAACTCTTCCAATTAAAGGGTTTTCCCCCACACAAAAAATTCAAATTTCAATTTCGCAGAGGTACGCTATGATGTGTTTCTCAAAAAGGGGTAAGAAGAGAGTAAAAAATGCAATAATTAAAAGGAATTAGTAAAAGAAAGATGTGAAAAATGCAACATGCTTTTTGTAACCATTTGGCGCATTTTCGAAAAACAGAAGAAAACCCGTTGATTTTTTAAACTTGTTGACCGCTGAAACATAGACGAGTCCGAAAAGTAGCCGCTAGATATCTTTTCTCTCCATTGGCATTGACTGAAACTTAGTAGGTTGGAAAGGTGTGGGTAAAAACAGTTAAATTGGGAAAAACTAGATGCTCCTTTTGTCATAGAAGTGTTTCACAAAATGTGAACGTCGTTAAAATATACGTATCTTTTCAGTTCTAACCGTAGCAAGTTTTTTTTAGCAGTTTGATTGTTTTGTTATTACTAATAACCTTAGCTACGACGTTTTAATTGAGTTGGGACCTTTGGTGGCTAATTGTTTTCAGAAACAGTTCCTTGGACAACTATTTGAACGACTCCAAATTTATACGATTGCATGCTATTTTGCACGATGCAGTCATGAACTTACCAAGATTGTCAATTGTACTGTTATATGTTGCCCTTGAACTATTACAACAACTTTCTGGGCAATTTGGCAGAAATAATTTTCTGTCTTCTCACTTAGTTGAAAACCAACAGTCTGCAAAACGTTTTAAAGCCGCATAACGTTATGCAGTTACCTTTTGAACACTGGCAGTCTGAACGCTGTCAATTGGACACCACAATGCGTTAGAAACCATCGATCTCGAATAAACTTATAACTCCCCTTGCCAAGTTAAAACTGGAATTTTGAGACCTATCAAACACTTTTCAGCAGTCTTTTTGTAGTTCATGGCCTTGACAACATTTTCGCGTTTTAGATACCGTTGATTTGAGCCTCTTAGTAGTTCAATGAAAATTTGTTGAGTTTCATGTCTGCCTACTTAGCCTCTGCTAAAATAATTTTTTTGG